TTTTTTTTATTTTTTTTTTTATTTTTTTTTTTTTTTTTATATTTTTATTTTTTTTTTTTTAATTTATATTTTTATTTTTTATTTTTTTATTTATATTTTATTTTTATTTTTTTTATTCATATTTTATTATTTTTATTTATTTATTTTATTTTTTTTTTGTCATTTTTATCTTTCCTTGTTTTGTTAATATTCGTACTAATCATAGTTATCAAGAAGCAGACATATCAAAAAAATTTGGTGGCACGATGAGCAGGCTCACTTACCTGTGTTGCCAATCAAGAGAAGCGCAAAGTGAAGATTATAAGGAATCTAACCGTAAGCGGCACGTGCGCTATAACTGTAAGGGTAAAATCTTAGTACGGGTCGATGCAGTCCTCGGTATTGCAAAGGTGAAAATTCACCATGAATCCCTTCATCAACGTCCAAATCTTTGTGCTAAGATGTCAGATGATCTACGAGAAGAGATTAGTAAGTTTGCACAGCTTACCACAGCTCAATTGACAAGCCATCTACGATGCAAAGGGTTCGATCTTTCAAGATATTCGCACAAGCGCATATACTATTGGAAGACTAAAGCAAATAAGAACGTGTACCAGCGTCATGATGATCAGGTCGAATCTTCACGCAGGCTGCTTGACGAGCACATAGATCAGGGTTTCTATAAATGCCTTGACCTACAAGATTCGGAATCCACAGCCATTGCTTTTACCACCCCGTTGCTAAAGAAAATCAATGATCTCAATATTCAGGTTAATGAGATTTACATGGATGCAACCTATAGAACTGCACATGGACGTTATGAGCTTTATGGCATTGTCGCTGACGTTGATGGTGCAGGTTTTCCTATTGCTTATCTCGTAATGGATACAATCAAGGCCAAAGATACAAACACCAGCACGGGAAAACGTAGTATTATATTAGAAGACTTTCTGGCAGCTATTAAAGTAAATTATATAAAAATAATGTAGTTAATAAATTTTGTTTGTTAATAAACATTTTAATTTTTTTTTTTTTTTTTAAGTCATATAATATAAACCCAAATTTTGTCTTTACTGATAAAGACTTCGCGGAAATAAATGCAGCATCCAAAGTGTGGAGTAATTCGGTTGTTCAATTGTGTGCTTGGCACATGCTTCAGGCTGTGAAGCGTAAACTCGAAGAGAAAGCAAAATCATCAGGCAATTCCAGATTGATAACCGTGAATTATGACGCTAGTCAAGCAGCCAATGAATATGATTTTATCGACCCCACTTTTTACCCAACCGAAGAAGACCGTAATTCACGATCGTACATAATTTGTCCTCCCACATTTCGTGAAAAGATTTTAGAGCTGATGCAGAAGCACTTCGACATGCATCCGTTAATACCTGTAGATGAACAGGGAAATACAATGAATCCAGAGGCTATTAGAAAAAGCGCTGTAGAAGAAATGTATAAGTTTTGTGTTGAATATGAATTACGGTTAGTATTTAGAGATACAATATTAGATATGGATATGTTAGAACTCTTACCAACTACTGTAGTGATACAAGTGATTTAGATATGGATATGTTGGTTTTGTATTGGAATGAACGTAATTTCTATATCGATTTACTGTAAATAATTTTACCGACTATTGTGGGATACAAGTGATTTAGACATAGTTTGTTAGTTTTGTATTGGAATGAACCGTGATTTCTATATTGATTTATGGTAAAAAAATTCGAGTACTATACTTACAAGCTATGGTGGTGATGCAAGTGATTTAGATATGGTTATGTTGGTTTTGTATTTGAATGAACGTAATTTCTATGGTGTTTTACTGTAAAAAAACTCAGTTACTGTAATTGCGAGCTATGTGTGATAAAAGTGATTTAGATATGGTTTTGTTAGTTTTATATTAGAAAATTTTTAATTTTAAATTTTGTTTTTTTTTTTTTTTTTGAATACTTAATATTTTTCTTAAACTTTTAATTTTCTTTTTGGTTGCTTTGGCCCTATCTTTGGACCAATTGGTACTCATCACGACGATGGCACCTTTGGGCACGGTCTACCAAACCGGTAATACCATATGGAAAAACTACGATGAAGATTGAAGCGCATTGAAGTGTCGTTAAACGACATTATTTACAGCGTTTCAATCAACCTAGATTAGATCTCCTACTGTGGACGCTTCTCAAAGAAGTGGTGCCAGCACAAATAGACCGATTTTCACAAATTCTGAATGGTATTATAGAACCGTGTTGGTGGGAAGACTTTAAGAAAGAGTGGATCTATGCAGGTGCGAGTGATGAAGAAAGGGCAAAAATACGTAGTAATAAAAGAAAGAGGAGTGTTGATGAAAGAGATTCAAATAGTTTATACTTCACTGAAGTTGCACAATGGGTCTGCAGCTGTCCAGCATTTTTCAGGAATCGCTTTTTATTGTGTAAGCATTTAGTCAGGCAAACTATAAATACACCTAATGGAAAAAGACGACGTTTACTTAGGTGTGGATTTAAACGTCGTACCATGCCACCATTCCTCATCCTAAATGATCTTGGCACCAATGATATATCACCAGAGGCTCAAGCTGTTGCTCAAGTTGCTGAAAACAACATTGTCGATAGTTTTCCTGATAGTTATAATGCTAATGCAGATGAAGATCCAGATGAGGAAGCTCGTGCTTATGTAGAATCGAATTGGGAATTATTTGAGCAGGCCTTTAATCGAATCAACTCAGAAAAAGCTACTAATAATTGGCGACATGTTAGTGCTATGATGAAATGGAGTAAATTGGTACCAATGAAAAAAGACATTCAAAAAGCAGAACGGCGAATACATCGACAAGCAACTTGGGCTCCAGAAAAGTCTAAAAAACCATATCTCATGTATTTATCACATCCAGAAGAGCCAAGATTAGTAGACGTGGTGATTGATGAAATTGTTAGTGATAACGAAGATAATAGTATTGACAATTAAAAAATGGCTAAAATCCTTACATACACCTGTACCTTATTCATAAGATCAAGTCCGTCTAGTTTAGATTGACGTCTAATAAAAAGAAAAACTTATTAAATTTATATTTTTCTGTTTAATTCAATTACATTGTGTTCTAAATAGTTTAAGAATTTGAATGCAACCGAACTTTGGGTCGCTAATTTTTAACTAATTGATTTAAGGTAAAATTTTCCATAACGAATATTTGATTATCTAATAAAACGGTAAAGATGTGACAATTGCGGTGGTTGCTGCGGCAGGGTGTCGATCATCTACCATGATGTATCCGGCAGTGTGTGGATCATCGACCACATGTAACCGGACTTTGGGGGGGCCACCCTGTCGAACTCTTCTCTTAAACACGCTCATATGCCAAATTTATCATTAAGTCATAAGTTGCATCATTTTCATGAGTTGCGTCATGCGTCATGAGTTGCGTCGTGCGTCATTTCGTCAATTCGAAGTAGCCTGACGAAATGGTTTCGTCATGCGTCAATGACGCAAGTTGCGTCATGCATCACCCATCATTAGTAATAATGCAGATCTATTTCTAATTATATACTATATATTACTGTATGTTGTACGATTTACTTATTTGCGCCGGTGATACAAACCAAATAAGGAAAAAAACAAAAAATATCCTTTTTTATTGGCACAAATAACACATCAGAGTCACGATGTTAGGGTTAGTAGTAAAGGTAATATATACTAAAATTTTGCAAGGAATTTTTTTTATTAGAACGTTAAAGGTGATTTCTTAGTCAGAATTTTGAGCTACCGGCTATTTTTTAAAAAAGCTTTCGTTTTAATGTTACACCAACTGTTACACCTGATCTTGCGATCTACATAAGAAAATTTCCTTATTTGGTTTGTATCACCGGCGCAAATAAGTGTACGCATGTACTGTATGTAATGTACGTACTGTACGCGAAAAAAATTTGCCTATCATATAAATGGCATATCACTACTCTAAATAGCTATATTACTTATAATGATCTTAATCGTAGTAGCAAAGCCCCAATGTTGTTCATAATGTATAAAAGCTCATTGATTTCATGTAACTAACGGTGGCAGATAAATAATAGGTAAAAAAAGAATCAATTAAATAAAAACCATTTAACCCAGGGATCCTAGTGGCAGTAGGATCCTTGGTTCTCATCCACGCCCTCTTTCGAGTAGTTTTCATTTTTGGTTGTTTTTTGACGGTGAAACATATCTTTTAGACATAGTATCATTTTTCACTGTCCAACGTTCATATCTGGTATCAGGTATATACTCATAGGACAATATTCGTTTGATTGGCTGAAATAAAACAATTGTCCGGGGAACTTATTTAGAATAAGTTGCCATTTCTAGCTCTAAAAGAACGTAAATCTTATAGTGCTAAACAGTGAGCGTAGCTTTGAGTTAAATAGTAGATCGATAATATGTATAAGCATTAATGTTTAATAATATAGGCTAAAGGTCGTGTTTCACCTCTAATAATGGTAATGAATTTAAATTTTTGATTGATTTGATTGGTTGACGCTTTGATCTTTGAATGTCATCTTACTGTATTATCACATGATTATCGAATGGAGAATTTTCATTGGTTGACTGTAAAAAAAAAAAAAAAAAATCCAATCCGCACTTTGGCGACGCGGGCGGGATATGAAAACCAATTATATAAATTTATATAGCCTAATGAATGATATAGAGTATTTGTAAATTGTAAGTCAAGTAAGTTTTGGCTGGTGCTGTAATATTTAGAAATTACTGACTGTGAATCTGTA